TCATATATGAGTAGCTTGCTTGCATTGTTTCCACCACTCCCAGTCCCTCTCCAACTTCTATGTCCTGCCACTCCCTCCCAATCACTTATTTTATTATTACATATACACATATATTGATAAATATAAATACACATATATATATATATATGAGTCCATTTAGTAGTGCTTGTATGTACCTATGTTTATGACTGCCTCCATGTGATTAGTTCAACTTCAGGGAGCTAGTCCCTAGAGGAATCTGAATTTTCCTCTCTCAGTGTCCATTGATTGCCTGTAGCTCTTCATATTGAAGTGGGGCCCGATGAAATGTCCTCCATTCATCTTGGCATGTCAACTGATTTTGTCATTATGCAAATCTTCTTAGACTACAATGCTATGGATATTTCATTGATGTAACTCCCCTAACATGTCTAGAATGCATTAACTCTCAGCAGGTGTCTTGACCCTCCTGCTCTTATATTCTTCCTGCTTCCTCTTCCTAGATGTTCTCTGAGCCTGAGGTGTAGATAGAGGTTGCATTGTAGATATGGCTCTTCTGGCTGGGAACCTCACAGTCACATATTTTAAGTATTTTGATCAGTTGTGGAACTTTGAATAGCCTCCATTTGTTGCAAAAGGAAGTTTCTTTGATGAGTAATGAGAGATATATTTGTCACGCTGGTCCAGAAATCTCGAGCCGTGCTTCTGGGCCAATCTTAAAGCAGAAAATGGCAGTGACCTGGGCCCAGAGTTCCCATTCTACCACTTTTGTTGAACACAGAAATTTTAGTCAGTGGTTTTCGGGCTTAAAAATAAATAAAAGGAAAAGAAATAGAATAGAAGGAAGTCTAATTATTCTTGTTTGTTGATATGATTCTGTATTCAGAAAACATAAAAATTCCACCAACAGATTATCAAGATACAAAGTCAACATACAAAATAAATAACTTTCTTGTATTTTAATAATGAATTTACTGAGAAAGATTAAAAAGCAATCCAGTTGCAAGATCTTAAAATAAGCACAGTAATAAACCTAACCAAGCCCACTACAATAAAAATTATTAAAAAATTGAAAAGGCATGTCCCATGCTCATGACAGAATTGATTTTGCTACAAGGCTATTCTATGCACAGTAATCTACAGAGTCAGTACAGTTGTCATTGAAATACTCATATGTATTCTTCACAGAATAAAAATCAATACAAGAATTCATAAATACCCCCAAACGCTGAACTAAAGTAGCTCTTCAGAAGGTATACAATATATGATTTAAAAGCACACTACAGCCTTGTATTTTCACTAGTAGCTGATTTGTTGACCAGTGGCACAAAATAAAAGACCCGTAAACAAATCCATGCATGTACAGTCAATATATTGTTCAGCAAGTGAGGCAGGGAAAACTGGATATTCACATATACAGGATTAAAAGTAGATATCTAACCCTCACCACATAAAAATGTCAGTTCAAAATGTATCAAAGTCATAAGACCTGAAACTTAGCAACAAGAAAACAAAGGGGGAAAACTTCAACACACCAGCACGGACAGCAAGTTTATGAAGAGCACACCAGTAATTCAGAAAATAAATGCAATAACTAACAAATAGGGTTACATCAAATTCAAAAGATTTTGCACTGCTAAGGAAAGAGAAAATAAAATAATGTTTTTTCCAGTTATTGTACTGATGGGAAGATTGTCCAGCATACATAGAGAACTCCCACTTAACAACAAAAGAAATTATCTGAAAAGTGTACCAATGACCTGAGCAGACAATTCTCAAAAGTAGAAACCCAAGTAACGAAGGACATATATTGAAAAAAAAAAAAGTTTCTTAATGATTTATGTTATCCAAGAAGTGCAAATCAAACCTGCCTTGAAATTTCATCTTACTCCGATCAGAATGCCTGTCCTTCAGAAAATAGAACAAAAATAGCAAATTCTGGTGCTATGGAAAACCATTGGTTTGAAAGAAAATTAATACAGTCATTACAGAAAATCGTGCAAAAGTTTCTCAAACAACTAACAATAGAATGTTCTAACATTACTGCTCCTAAGTGTATATTCAAAGGAAATGTTACCAAAATGCAAAATTGATATCAGCATGCTCACTGGGGAAGTTTTCACAATACTTAAGATTTGCAGTACAAGGTACCCGGCTAACACATGAACTGACAAAATAAGCACAGTGAATATGCGTAAATGGAGTGTTATGTAGCCATAAAGAAGAATGTGATCTTGCTATTTCCTATAATATATGGGGCTGGAGGACATCACTTCAAATGCAGAAAGCCACACACAGAAAGATAAACATGAATTTTTTTCTCTTGTGTGGAAACAGCATGACGGAAAACAGAAGAAATGAGCTGAAAGTAGATAATGAAAATATTAGTAAACTAGAAAACAGGGAGAAGAAAAAAAGGAAAGGTGTGAAAGACCCGACTGACAGCAGGAAGGCCATTTTAGAAAAAGAACTGTAGTCAGCCATTCAATGAGCCAAGGTTCTAACTCAGGTCTTGTGAAACTAGCAGTGGAAGAAAGGACGTTTGCGATCGGACCACCTGGCACCACCCTGAGGCCCCTACCGGGAAGTTAGCGATAACAATCGGTTTCACCCATAGCCCCCTCTGAATTTAGCAATACTGTTTCCTCATACCTTGTACCCATTGAAATGCACTAATAATAATCTTGTAACCATGCATCTGCTTCTGTACCTTGCTTCTGCTCTATAAAAAGCCCTCCCAAACTAAGCCCGGCACGCAAGTCCTGACCCGAGCCGGACTCTGCATCCGTAGGCGCCTGTGTACGAATAAACTCCTCTTGCTTTTGCATCCTGAAACTTGGTTTTGTCCCTGTGTGTTAAGCGCGATTCTTCAACCTGATATCCCTTGGCTTAGTGTTGATGAAGGGACTGTAAAGCTCAGGCAAATTGGTATGCTTGAGTGGATTCACAGTACAACACCAAATCCTCCACAATGGGAAGGCCCAGAGGACATGCCTTTTACTGATTTTATAAGATGGAAAGTACCAG